TCTCCCTGCCCAGCAAAGGCAGTATGTATCTGCAGGAAGCAAAACACGGGAGCAACGAGCAGTACTGAGCTGTGGGAGGCTCTTCTGTGCGCTGGGGCTACTGCCTTAGGGGGGGCTACCAAGGAGAGACAGGGGCCAGTGACACTGTGTCCTGCTCACAGCGCTGTTGGTCCCAGTGTTCAACATAGGAGACAGACCTCCCAGAAATCACAGTCTGTTTGGGCAGGAGAGCAGGAGTTACTCGCCTTTGGGGTTTGAGATCTTACTGTTCCCCCTTTCGTGTGCGTTTCTTTCTCTCCTGGAATATTACAAATGGTCAGGAGAAAAAGGCATTTTGGTATGCAAACTGGGGCTGCTGCATTGTCCCGTGAACTCAGCAGCAGGTTTAAGGAAAACACAGGTGGAACAAGGCTTCTGAGGGAACTGCAGCTGCCAGCAATGCAGGAAACTTTTCTTGGAAGAATTACAAAGCCTCAGCCTACCATGTCCCTGGAAAGCCAGGGGCTGTGCACTCCTGGTTCTGGCTCTTCCATCTTGGACAAATGCACCCTGCAGCCTTCTTGCACAGAGCTTTTTTTCGTCCTACATTTGTTTCTCATGAGCACTGCCACTAAAAAACTGCCCTAGTCCACCTCAGAGGCAGCTGCAAGGCAGTGCTGGGTGGAGTGATGACTGAGTTAATGTTTGCCAGGCCCCCTCTGAGGGCACTGCGGGGGGTGACCTCCAAAGGGACTTCAGGTAGTTTCTGCTTTGGACTGCGTTGGATTGTAATTAAGGGGGAAGCTGACAGCGGAGATTGGTAGGTATTGGAGTGGTGAGGAATGTAATGGGCTTGGGATGGTGCTTTGATCTGCTGGCTGGTACCTAGAAAGGTTGTTTCATTGGATGCACAAGGCTAATGCTGAGTAGACTCACACACGGCCCTGACTCTGATCTGAAAATGGGACTGCCAGTGCTGGCTTTGTGGGAATTAAAAGGTATTGAGGGTTGTTCTGGCAATGAGACTGGGTCATCTTTTCCAGTGAATTGTCTGGACCGACATGTCCATGTAGCCCCAGACAAAGTGGCCTTAATCTGGGAGAAGGATGAACCAGGAGAGGAGGTGCAGGTCACGTACAGGTCAGTACTTACCTCTGAGCATACGAGACATGTATCGCAGCATGCACGAACACTGCACAGGGCCCATCTGCTGGTGTGCATCTTGTGAGGGGGATACAGCATCCCTTCACATAGATAGACCAACTGTATGGTGGCTGTTGGCTTGCCTGTGCTGATCTGCTCCTTCAGCCTACCTCCTGATTAACCCCCTGGGCCCCGGGGAGTCCCCCCCAGCTGGGGAGGCAGGCGTAAGCCCCTCATGGCAGCACTGCAATGCTTGTAGGTAAGACCACGCTGGGAAGGTCACCCATGCGCCTTCCCAGCAAGGTTCCCATTGCCTAAACTTGCAGGTAAATGGTCTGCAAGACAGGCCAGATTCACAGCTGCATGAGTGTTGGGAAGTCCCATGCTCATCCACACATCAGTAACGCTGCTGGGTTTGGCACTCTGGGAGGACTGCCTCTCCAGCCCTGCTAGGTTGGTCTGGGCTCCCCCAGCCAGCTCAATTTGCCTGCTCTCTGCCACAGAATCCGCTTAAATCCCTCTGCATGCAGAGCGAGTCCCTCTGTCCTCTCTGGCTCCAGACTTCACGTGACAAACCTGACCATCCACCCCTGCCAATCTCCCTGCATGGAGAGCCCTTCCATGAAATGAGTCACTGACAGCCAAGCCGCAGTTCCTGGGAGGGATGCTTCTCGGGAAAGGCATTGTTTTGCTCATCGCTTTCCTACAGCTGTTGTTCTCGCTGCTGGGCACAAGCTCCGGAGGACTTGACCTTCCCAGCTTTAGCAAAGCACAGGGCCCTGTTTTCACAGGGGGAGATATCTAACTCCTCACGTGTAGCCTCCAGCCTTGCAGGGTAATGTGTCACTCCAGTTGTACGGGCTGATAATAAATGTGCAGGCTGTCATTGGGAAAGTCAGCTGAGGCGGTGTGGGCTTGCTGAGCTGGAAGAATTGCCTGTGGCTATTGCTGGCCCTATGGCTTGCTCCTCATGCTGGCCAATGAGAGTGGCAAGCTCTGTACAGAGGCCATTCTGATTAATTTCTTTTCCATAAATAACAGCCTGTGTTAGTGACTGTCTTCTCCTTTCCTTCCCACTGACATTTTACAGCTCTCCCATGGACTTCCAGCATGGGGGGTTAGGGTCCGTAGGGATGTAACCTGTGAGTGACTCTGAGGCCCCCCACCTTTACGCACTCAGGTAAGATGTGCAAGAAAGCCTCTAACTGTGCCATTGCTTCTTTGGGCAGGGAACTGCTGGAGCTGACGTGCCGCCTGGGAAACACCTTGAAACGGCAAGGGGTGAAACGGGGTGACAGGGTGACAATCTACATGCCCCCATGCCCGCTGGCTGTGGCTAGCATGCTGGCCTGCGCCCGCATCGGGGCTGTGCACACTGTGGTGTTCGCCGGTTTCAGTGCAGAGTCCCTAGCAGACAGGATCCGGGATGGTAAGAGCCAGTGGGTAACAGGGACATGTGTTTCCCTTGGGGGACAGAGCTTGTTGGTTTGGCAGCTGGGTGGTCCAGGGTTGTGCTGATGGCAAAGGTTTTCTGAGTAAGACTCCCTGGGCTAAGTGAAGGTGTCCTGCCCTGATGTATGGACATGGAGCAGGGATTAGCACCTCAGGAAATGGCACGGGCTCACTAAATATCTTCCAGCCCGTGGGATGGGATGGTTCTCTCCTTCATCCAAGGGACTGAAGGGCTGGGATACAGAGTCTCCTCTGAGGGGACACAACACAGGTGGGAATGAATGGGAAACAAAGATGCAAAGCTGGTGGTTTTGCTAAATGGAGGACATGAGTAATAGGGGCTGGGAGACAGAGTGCAGGGGTCATGGTAGAGCCATGCAGAGGGGCAGAGCTGCTTACATGGCTCTTCTGCCTTCTGCAGCCCAGTCAGAGACGGTGATCACAGTAAATCAGGGGCTGAGAGGAGGCAAGGTTATTGAGCTAAAGAAGACAGTGGACCAGGCTGTGAAGCAGTGCCCAGGAGTGAAACGGGTCCTGGTTTGCATGAGGACCGACAGCAAGGTTCCCATGACAGCCCTGGATGTGCCACTGGAGGAGGTGAGAGGCTGCTCAGCACTACTGCCGCTTCCTCTGGGCAATGTGCCCGCTCTGGGAGCAGGGACAGGGGGTGGAGAGAGGGTCCTGGCTGGCCATGACAGTTTTGCTGGCATTGACATGATGTGGGGACATTGTCCTGCAGCAGCAGCTGGAGCTGCACATGAGTGCAGGACAGTCCCAGGAGCCCTCAGGATGGGTAACTGGTGGCTCTTCCCACAGCACCAGCCCTGCACTGTCAGGGGCAGGCAGTGTGAATCAGGGCTCGCAGCAGGGTGGACCAGGGGCTAGAAATGCCCCTGACACAGGCTGACACGTTGTGAGCCCAGCCTTGGACTGCCACTGCAGTCACACACTGCTCTGCTGGCAGAGCTGGCACCCCTGTGAGTGCCGCTGGCAGCTTGTGTCCAGGGAAGCAGGCAGCGAGGTTGCTCCTGTGCCTGTTACTCGTGGCACGCAGGATGGCCAGGCTGCCAACATGGAGCACTGTTTCTGAAGAGATGAGCCTTGATGTGCATTTCTGCTAGCTCCCTGGAGCTAGCAGAGGTCTCCCTGCCTCGGCTCATCCCATCTGCAAGCAATTAGCGCTAGAAAGGTTTCCTGGAAGACTTCTGTGTGGGTCAGAGCAGCGGTGGTGTAAAAATAGCTGCCTCTTACTCAGCAGGTCTGCTCTGGCTGAGGAGAACATTTGCCAGCTCAGCAAGGCAAAAGGGAGTTCAGGCTGGCGAGCAAGGGGAGCGGAGGTGCAGAGGCAGGGAGGGTGGTAAGGGGGGGAGCAGGGTGGTGCAGGTGCTCAGAGGGAGGCTTGGGGGAGAGGTGCGCAAGAGGGTGTAGGAACAACACAGGGAAGCCTGTGAGACCCCAGGAGAGAACTGCTGTGCTCTCTCCTGCAGGAGATGATGAAGGAGGATGCATGCTGTGAGCCTGCTGCCATGGACAGTGAAGACATGTTGTTCCTTCTCTACACGTCAGGCAGCACCGGCAAACCCAAGGGTCTGGTTCATTCCCAAGCTGGTTACTTGCTGTTTGCTGCTCTCACGCACAAGGTAATGGATCTCAGGCACAGCGTGCTCATGAACTAGCAGTTCATAGGCAGTGCAGGGAATAGATGTGCTGCCTTGTTGCACCATGAGCTCATCTTTATCCAGAGAAAAGTCTCTGGGGAGCCCTCCTAGAACATCAGCCCTGTAGAGCACATCTGCCTACAGGTAGTGGGGAAGAGCAACACAAGCTCCGGAGCAGGGCCTCCCAAACACATACTCCTCTGACATACCTTCTTGGCTTTCTTCTTTCTTTCACTGCCCTATCCTAGATGGAATCATTGGGTGGGATGCTCAGCCTTGCAAGGATAATTTTCTATTACTGGGTGAGGAGGAAGAAGCCAATTTTCTCCTAAAACTCTGGCTTGTTTTCCCTAAGTGTAAGTACCCCAACTCAGGTGGGAGATTGAAGGCAGTGCTTCTGGGAAGGGCACATTTAAGGATATCTGTAGAAGTTGGTGAGTGCCCTCAAGACAAAGGGTCTATACCTGAAGAGTGTGGGTCATCTTTGGGAAGATGAAAGCCTTTAACCCCTAGCATGCTGAAAGCAAATTTTAACAGAGCTGGATGAAAGGGCACTGAGCACAGCATGGAGCTGCACTTGGCTGCAGGAATGGTTGCAAGGGACATTTCCTAAGACATTACATGGAGTCCTCTGGAAGAGGGAGTTCCTCTCTGAACAGTCCTTTAGCTTTGGATCTGGCTCTTCTTGTGTGTGATTAAAGTTCCAGTAGTGCCTCAAACCATGCACCCTATACAAGCTCAGGGCTGGCTGGGTCTTCTCTGTCAGCCGTGAGTGCTGGAAGCCAGACCCCCTGGCGGTGTGTGCAGGGGGTATGTGGAAGCCCTTGGTTTTCCTGTGAGCTAAGCTGTCTGCACAGCTGTGCCCAGCACAACATGTGAACCTCTCAAAACTATCAGAGCTGGTTTGCGAGAGCCAGGGCTGCCATCCCAGAAGGGCAATGCAGGGAGCAAGCAGCGTGAGGCCATGTTAGCACTCAGGAGCGCAGGAAACTGCAACACAGGGCTGGCATGCTGCAATCTCTCAGCTGGATGGGGCAGACTGCTGCTATCATAATTCACCGCTTGGTTAAAAAAAGACAGAGCAAGCAGGGGAAGTTTCCATTACGAGCACCCTGGAACACTTGAGGCCCCGGAGTCCCCAGCTGGCAGCCTGCAGACAGGGAGCTGCAGGAAGAGAGGGGAAGGTCTGAAGCAGCAGATGCCAGAGCAGAAGGCGAGGAGTGATGGGCTAGTGGGAGACTGTCCGCTGGGGAACTTCCCTGGCACCAAGTAAAGGAAATGAAGGAGAGTGCTTGAGGAAGCTGGACATGTTGCTGCCAGTCTGGCGGCACTCAATTCTGCCCTGCACAGGCCAGGCATCATTCTCTCATACTCCAGCCTTGCAGCTAAGGGTCTCCTGAGGAATAAACGGGGCAGCGGGAAGGAGAGCTTGTTCTGCTTTCTGCCTGCCTGCAGGCACAGGGCTGTGCGCACCCAGCTGAGGTGGAGAGGTGCCAACTCCTGCGGGCAAGCTGGGGCAGCTCTGGGCTGAGGCATGTCACGGTCCCCCTGCTTGCTGCCTCAGTGCTCCTACGCTGGGCTCCTTGCTGAGCTCAGGGTTTTCCTGGGTGTTTACTGTGCGTTTGGAACCCAGCAGTGCCTGCGGGTGGCTCATGGAGTCTTCTGCCACATCGCCCTTGCCTACAACTCCTCTCCTTCAATGGGGTCATGTAGGTGCAGAGGAACCATTCTCACCCTGAAAGTTGTCCCGTTTTGATGCTACAGGATACTTGGATCAGCCTTGTCTACACATCAGCAGAAGGAAGGAAAGGCTGTAGCTCTCTCCTCTGGAAAAGAGCAAATTTGGCCATGTTGGTTTTTTTTTTTAAGGTGTGTCTCTCCTCCCTGCACCCACGTAAAGCACCTGACTTTTTTTTTTTCTGATAATGTTTTAAAAAACTCTCTGCAGGAAGAAGGTGTCCCTTCCCTGGTGGGAAGACAGAAGGATGCAATAATATTAGAGCTGAGAGAGGGTACACTGCTCCCAGCTGTCCCCCTTGCTGGGGGGCCCAGGCTGTACCCCTCACTGCCTCTCTTCTCTTGTGCAGTACGTGTTTGACTACCAGGACAGGGACATCTTTGGCTGCGTGGCAGACATCGGCTGGATCACAGGGCACACCTATGTGGTCTATGGCCCCCTCTGCAATGGCGGCACCACAGTTCTTTTTGAGAGCACTCCCATCCATCCTAACCCTGGTGAGTAAGAAGGTGTCTCAGGGGAGCTGGGACATGCTACAGCCACCCTGCGAGCCCTGCAGCAGGCAGAGAGCTGGCAGCTTGATGCCAGGACAGAGGCAGCGATGGTTCTGCTGCCGCTGTGCCTGGTGGAGAGCTGCGAGGGGAAGAGCCTTTTCCTCTAGTTAGGAAGCCACTGCTGCTTCTCCAGGGCTGAAGCTGTTTCTCCCTGTCCCTCCCTGGAGCAGGGAGAGTAGCAGAGCTAGGTGATGTGGAGGAAAAGGGGTCGCTGGCTGCTCCTGGTCTGCTTTATTCCTTCCCAGCATGGGATTAGGTTGGCTGAGGGTCCAGGCATCGCTAGAGAGCCCTTGCTCTCACCTCCTCTCCCTCTGAGTCTTGGGCCGGGAGGACCCATGTGGATGGTTACTGGCCCTGTTTCCATTCCAGGCCGCTACTGGGAAACAGTGGAGAGGTTAAAAATTAACCAGTTCTATGGGGCGCCCACTGCCATCCGCCTACTCCTGAGATATGGCGACGAATGGGTGAAGAAGTCTGCCCGCTCTTCTCTCAAAGTGCTCGGCTCAGGTAACTGCTGGTGGCATGGGCTTCAGCATCAGGTTGTGCATCCTCCCACAAACGCCAGGAGCAGCAGCACATGAGAGCGGAAAGTCGGGAGACTGTGCCACAGGGGTGGCTCTGCAAGCAGGGCCTGGCAAGCTGTGTCTTTGACCTAATCTTTCAGCTCTGTCCCCTTGTCTTTCTCCTTGCAGTGGGGGAACCCATCAATAAGGAGGCGTGGGAGTGGTACTTCCGTGTGGTTGGCGAGACACGGTGCCCAGTAGTGGACACGTGGTGGCAAACTGGTGAGATACGTATGACCCCTTGTCCCAGCTTCTGCTCTCCAGGGCATTAGGAGTGACCTGCTGCTTTGTTGGCCAAATGGGAATGGTTATTACTGACATTCTTGTATGAGCAATGCCATAAGGGGCCACAGGCACCAAAACATGAAAGAGAAATGGCTTTTAAAGCTAACCCAGAGAAACACGGGGAGTTGACGGTAGGGAGCAGATCTCTACTGCACTAAATAAGCAGACTCATCCTTCTGCAAAGAGCCTTCCCCAGCTCTCTGGCAAACCTAGCCCCAGCCTGTGGTCCAGCAGAGTGCAATGAGGGCCAGGGCAGAGGCTGGTGGCCAAGCAGTGCTACCTGGCTTTCCTCTTGACTCTGACTTTGATGAGCATTACAGTTTCTTTTGCTTCAGAAACAGGAGGCATCTGTATCTCACCCCGTCCTTCTAATCCTGGAGCTGAAATCCTTCCAGGCATGGCTATGAGACCCTTCTTTGGGATCAGCCCCTCCCTCCTGGATGACAAGGTACATGTATAACCCACAGCCCAGGCACTGGCTCAGCCTGCTTTCCCCCAGGCACTCACAGCGTGTATGTGCTGATGAGAGTGGAGATCTGTAAGCGCATCTTTCCTGATCACTTCTGCTAGACAGCAACCTTCTTTACTGGAAAGGGAGTGACAGTGAAGTTGTTCTTCCAATGAGCACAGAAATTGAGTTGTTTTGTAGCTTGCTCTATCCTGACGAGACATTCTGTGCTTGGGCCCCCTGTCACATGTCTTTCCAAGGTGAGGTAACCAGGCATGAACAGCCAGCCTCCCTGGGGGGACACCGTGTCCCACCATGGTAGGCTGCTGGTTGCAGACATCTGCAGTGAGAGACTGAGCCTGTCCCCTTGGAGTCGGGGGCACTCGCTGCCTTCCCTGACATTTCCATTGCAGGGCTGTTAAACAGGCAATGACTAAACATTCCAAGTACCCTCAGCCATGGTTACTAAAAGGTAACTGTTTTACAGGGAAATGTCCTTCTGGAAAACAACATCTCTGGAGCCCTCTGCATCTCACAAGCCTGGCCAGGTATGGCACGAACCATTTACAATGACCACAAGAGATTCTTGGAAACCTACCTAACTCTGTATCCAGGTAAGGAAAATGCATGGCAGGTCACTGCAGAGGTGTTTGGATGGGTCTGCCTGCCAGTTTTCTGCATGGGGGCAGGACTCAGGAGAGCTGGTACTACTGCTTCATTCTTCCACAGACCCTCCATGGTTTGAGGCTCTTCATCTCCCCCTGCCTGATACCTCAGTGCTGCCCTGGGAATGGGTCTCTCTTACCAACCATCTCCATTGGATCACATGTGGTTTTAGGGCAGTGGATTTGCCTTTCTGCCCCCAGTCCCCTTGAGCACAGAGAGGCCTCTTGGTGCATCTCTTGTAAACCCTGTTGGCTTCTGTCACTCATCCAGAGGTGCTGAGCAAGCCCAATAATGTGTGTGTGTGTGTCTTGATGTGAAGCTTTGCTTTGGTGTAGGAACGCAGTGCTCCCGGCTTGCAGTGGTAAGGCAGGCTGGGTGTTAGCCAGCACACTGCAGAATGAGGGAAGGAGCCTGAGATAGAGCAGGTACCAACAGAGGCAGAAGGCTAACGAGGAAGGTAGGAACCTTCACCATGAGCAGCTGAGGTAGGAGCAGAGCACATGAGCCCTGGTGCCAACAGAGAGGAGCAGAGGGCAAGGTGAGAGCACAGCTGGTGAGCAGCTCACACGCCAACTGCAACAAGTGACTAGGCCATGGTTCTGGCCACTGCAGGGTTTTTCTTCACTGGGGATGGCGCGTATCGTACCAGTGAGGGCTACTACCAGCTGACAGGACGCCTGGATGACATCATTAACATCAGCGGACACCGGCTGGGCACTGCAGAGGTGGAGGATGTTGTGGTAAGAGGTGTGGGTGGGAGGTAAAGCCACCCAAGGTGACAGTGAAGGTGCACTGGTGGTGCTCAGGGAAGCCTCTTTGAAAAACCTGGACAGAAACACACTGCTGCTGCAGCAGCAAGGAACAGCACTGGACCCACAGCCTGCCTGTGGCAACCGCTTCTCACCCTCTTCCCTCCCAGTCTGGCTCTCTGCAGCAAGGGAGGGACAAAGCCTGGTAAGGTTGATGTTGTAAATGGATGAATCTCAAAGGGGCAGCCGGGCATGTTAGGGAGGAGCATCCATAGGCCAGTAAAGATTGTGGGATCCTGTGGAGCAACCTGGAGGCACAGAACAGGGTCTAGAAGGTGCAAGCCTAAAGCAGCTGGGGTGGGGGGGGAAGACTTGTGTTTGCAGACAGACTTGCTGAGGCAAGAAGGAAAAAGGGCAGAGGCCATCTGAGGCCCTTCCTTACCTCATGGCATTACTGTGGGCTGCAGCAGCCAAGCCAGGTCAGGGCAGCTCCAGGTGGTAGCCATGTTGTAAATGGATGAATCTCAAAGGGGCAGCCGGGCATGTTAGGGAGGAGCATCCATAGGCCAGTAAAGATTGTGGGATCCTGTGGAGCAACCTGGAGGCACAGAACAGGGTCTAGAAGGTGCAAGCCTAAAGCAGCTGGGGTGGGGGGGAAGACTTGTGTTTGCAGACAGACTTGCTGAGGCAAGAAGGAAAAAGGGCAGAGGCCATCTGAGGCCCTTCCTTACCTCATGGCATTACTGTGGGCTGCAGCAGCCAAGCCAGGTCAGGGCAGCTCCAGGTGGTAGCCAGCCTGCCAAAAGCACTTAGCCAAACCCCAGCCCTGTTCCCTTCCAGAATCACCATGCGGCAGTGGCGGAGTCTGCTGTCATCGGCTACCCACATGAGATCAAGGGAGAAGGTAAGATGCTTGCTTTTCTGCCCCTGAAATGTCTCTCCCAGAGCTATTGCACTGCAGTGGGAAGTGGCACTGTCACACCAACCCCTGGCAGCAACGCTGTGCCAGCACTGTACGGCATCTTAGCGGGGATCTTAGCACAGCCATCACAACCTACACGAGACCAGCTGGGCTTTGCATAAGGCGCAGCACCATGGCCAAAAACACTTACAGCTCAGGCTACAGAGCATCCCCTGAGGCTACCTGCAGAGGGACCTCTCCTGGCACTAGGTCCAGGCAGGCTCTCAGGAGCATGCTGCGCACAGTGCTCAGTAAGCTGGTGGTCCTTCTGCCAGGAGCCTATGTGTTTGTTGTGCTGAAGAAGAACAGTGGCTACACACAGGAGACTCTCGCTGCTGAGCTACGGGAGCTGATCTCAAAGAAGATCGCTAAGTATGCAGCTCCAGAGTACGTTCAGGTAACATGTGAAGGCTGGTCCAACACCCACCCTGACAACCTGGCCACCCCTTTCCCTCAGCCTTAGCTCTGCTCCTCCCCATCACAGGTCACACACCGGCTGCCCAAGACACGCTCGGGGAAGATTATGCGTCGGGTACTAAGGAAAATCGTGGAGGGCAAGGCCAGTGAGCTTGGGGACCTAACCACCCTGGATGACTATGAAGCTGTGCAGCAGATCATAGAGGGACGCAAGCGCCTGGTGGAGGGGCAGAAGAGCTGCTAGCTTGGCTCTGCCAGCAGCCACCTCCTGCTCCTCCACTGCAGAACCAGGGCCACATCCAGAAATGTCACTAAGCAACTGGTGGCCAGTAAGCGCTCAGAAACCATATCTCCACTGCAGTCTCAGTGACCTCTCCACGACACAGAGACCCTCAAAACCTCTCTCTCCACCCATCTGCAGGAGGCAGGGGAGAGAACATGACTCAGAGGCAGAACAGTAAGGGGAGGCGAGCTCTCTTTCCTCCCCTAAAAGCAGAGGGCTAAAAGCCCTCCTTGGGTTTCCTTGTGCCTCACAGTAGCTGTGGAGGTAGCAGCAGGGCAGGATGCCCAGCCCTGGAGAGGTAGATTACTCCTACCCCTGCTCTGCTCTTCAGCAATAGTCTAGTTCAGGACCATTGCCAATATACAAGCATCTCCTCCAAAGCAAATCCCAGAAGGAAAAGCAATCTGGTTATAAATACTGACTCTTCTCCATAAACATTGTTGGAAAACAGGCCGTGGATTTTAATACAAAAATGTTCCTGTAACCCTCTGCTGGCACAGAGAGGGGCATGTCTCCCCTCTCCTTATGACATTCTCCTCCCCTTACAATGCATCCCCTGGCTCCTGCTGGGGAGCACAACCCTCAACAGAGCCACAGGTACAGAATTCTGTTCTGCAGAGCTGTGTATCAAAGAGACAGAGGTCCCAGAGAGGCACAGAGGGCAGAACAGGAGGCTGCATCCTAGCCTCGCACCACTGCATCCTGGACAAGGGGAGGTTCCTCTGGCTGCGGCTTCTACAAGCCCCACGAGGCAGCATCTTCTCTTTGGGAGGCCTAGCAGCTCAGCCCTTTCCCCCCATGAGAGGCAGGAAGACAGGAGAAGGGGGCTGGGAGAAGGATGGCTCCTGGCAGAGCACACCAGGAGTTCAGGCTTGGCTCTGTGTCCATCAGCAAAGTCCAGAAGCTGGTCTTGCACTGGATGAATCTCTCATTGACAGCCACTGGCTCAGCAGCTCTGTGTCTGCTATTCAGAGCTCTCCCATGTATGTGCAGGTTCTGCGGCTGGCCAGACAAGGGCATGTCTTTCAGCATCCTTCCCCAGCTGGGAGCCGTTTCATCTTCTCGCATCGAGTGAGCTCCCATCTTCCCTCCCCATGAAGTTTCAAAATCCAGCTATGGAACTGCAATTCAATAACACAGTGACTGAGGGATGTCTCCACGATGGCATGTCCTCCCACAATGAGGCTCTCCAGCCTCAGTCACTCCCTTCTGCTCTCCAGGGACCCTCTTTGCCTCCCCCCTGTCTTGCCACCACCAAGGAGGCGTGGAGCACTGTCTCCCCATCTCACCTTTTCCAGGCTGGCCCTGTGTCCCACGCTGATTAGCGTCATGCCCAGCTGAAGGCACACACGGTACAGTTCATGCTCCACCTCTTCTGTCAGGGCACTGGTGGCTTCATCTAGCACTGAAAGAAAAGTCGTAAGCCCCACAAATCCTCTCCCAAATGGTCATCTCCCCATAGGCAAAAAAAGAGCAACTGCCAAGAACATTTAATATATCAACCGGCATTGACCAAGAGCATCTGCAGAAAGCAAGTGAGGAGAAGCCCAAGGACTCTGATTTTCCTCTGGCACAGCTGGTGTCAGTCAACTGGAAAAGCTGCCCTTCCTCACAAGCCCTCGAATCCACCCAAACAGTGCCATTCACCTCATTCCTCTCCCTCAACAGCTGCCAGCCACTGCCTCATCCCCACTGCCATGAAAGCCAAGACGTGATCTTCTCAAGGCAGGCCATGTGCCAGAGCACCAGGCTGAGCAGCAGCCTCTGCACTGCCCTCACCCATACCCCACCTGAAGCATCCAGGACAGCCTGAGGCACCTTCCAGTCAATTAAGGGTAAATACTACAGATCTGGAGCAGATAAATTCAATTCGGTTTACAATATCTCTACAGCTTTTAGTTTGCAATCCACAGGTTCCTTCTGCCTAGACAGCACCAAGCTGTGCTGCAAGGCTTCAGGGGAAGAGAGGTACTTACACGTGGCTACTTGCTACTGATACCAGCTCTGTTCACTCACACCCACCATGCCCTCAAAAGAAGTCCTTCAACAGCCCCCCCCAGTCACTAGCAATCTAGGTGTGCAAAGGAATTAACCCCATCTGCTAAAGGGAGCTGCTTCTGTGATCTCTCAGGACCGTTTCTCCCACTGCTACTTGTCTTCTTTTGCTGCATTACAGCTGAATTTCCCACATCACTTCCACAACCCTGCAGAGGTTCACGAGCTTCAGATATGGCAGCTGACACCATGCTCCCTAGCATGCACGCTTCTTTACGTGGCAACTGGTGAGCTTGCCGAGAGGGGGCGTCTTTTGGTGCCATTGGACCTGCACCAAGAACATTAATCACTAGTTCCACAAGAAGATAATGTCTTATCTACAGCTTCTTGATGTACCACCCTCCACACAATGAAATGTTTTCACCCCTGAATCCTCTGTGTGCTATGCTGCTAAACTAACGGCCAAGACGAAGCATACTCCTACCAAAGAAGGGTTTTCATGAGCTGTGTCTGTACCAGCTTCTCTTTACACCAAAGACCCTGCCTTTCCCCCCTCCTCCCCCTCCTTTTCTTTCGCAGTCACTCACTCACCTGCATATTTGGGCTGGAGGTAGAAGAGCCGTGCAAACGAGAGCCTCTGCATCTCCCCTGGGGACAGGATGTCATACCTGCAGCAGGGTCAAGATTCAAAATCTCCCTCAACAAAAAGAGCTCGTTTGCCAAAGAGCTTATGGTTGCTGGTATCGGAGACCCCAGCAAGCAACTGTCCCTGTGCGTCCCCCATCCCCCCCCTCCACGCTGGGACTGGCTCTGCACCCCCGTGCACAGTCAGCTGCCTGCAGAGCAGCATGGCTGGTGATTGCTGCCATTGATGTTTGGGGTATGAGGGCCCCTGTATACCACCCACCTCCCACAGGACACAGATGTTCATAAGTCCACCAGCAATGTGCACCTGCTTAGAAGTGTTCCCCACCCAGAGGGATCACCCAAACCTTACCAGTTCCACTCCACCTGCTTGTCCAGTCCTTCAGCCCTCACCAGCAAATCAGTCTGAAGAGAGCACAGCAGACTTGTGAACACAGCCCCCAACCCTGTCAGCCCACAGCCCTGAGCATAACCACTCCCTTCCTGCTACTCTCTTTTCCCACTTGAGCTGAAGTTGCTCCGTATCCCTCCTCCTCTGCCTGTCCCATGGACAGCCCTGTCCCAGCTGCAGTCAATGTCCCCGCATGCATCCAGCACATGGTCACGCTGTGCTGCCACAAAACCTCATCCCTTCTTTCCCCTCTGGCAGCACCAGGAAAGAAGGCAGCAGCCCTGCTGGGGACTCACCAGCCCAGCCAGCTCCAGGAATCGCACAATTCTCTCATCATCTGCAGACCCTAGGGGACAAAGCAGTAAAGCATGAGCAAAGTCACTGTGTGCTGAGGCCACGGCTGCAAGGAGGAGTCAGTGGACAGGAAGGAAGGATTGGAGGATATCCTGAGGTCCAGTGTAGCTGACTTGACCACTTAACTATATCAGGTCCTGAGCTTTGGCACAGAGAGCTCCCAAAGACTGACCTTAAAAATTTTAACCATGCCTGTGAGCAGCATGCTAGGAGGCAGCTGGGCTCCACATGGTCCCACCATGGTCACAGATGGATACAGCCAGAACACTTCAACTGCCAAGGCCCTGCCCACCAGCTGCTCTCTTATGACTGACTGCCCATTGTATGCTGCAGGTGGTGGAACCACAGGAGCAGGGCCAGGTAACAGCCAGCAAAAGGATCCTATGTGGGAGAAACCTTAGGGTGAGCCAGCTGTGGAGCAGAACATACACTTGAGCTGGTACCACCAGCAGCTACGGAAGCTGAGCAGAAGGGCCGTGCATCTGCCATGGACCTCTCTGAAGATGCTGAAGAGCCACAACAGTAGCTGATGGCTGCAGTTACTCTCTGCAAGACTGACTCCCAAGTGTTTGAAAGCAGCACCTAACACTGCTTCGCTCAGACAGAAAATGAAACCTGGACATCTGCAAGCTGCAGCAGACCACGCATGGTCTGGCTTAGGAAGAGGACAGAGGAGAGAAAGAATCCATGTAGTCTGACCTTGACAGCATGCAAGGTCCTGGGACATCATTTGAAAAAGAAGAACAGTGATAGATGGAGCTGGATGGAAAATGAGATGAAGGCAAACGTGGCTTGCCCAAAGGCAGGTTGTACAAGACAGGTATATCCCAACAATATCGTACCTCAACATATATCACACGTCTAGCACAACATGCAGAGCATGGCCCGCTTGTCCTCATTGCATCAAGAGAATATGTTCTTATCAAGAGAATATGTTCCCTCTCAAAAGGGAGGGGACACAGAGCTGACCTTAACCTACACTAAGGTAAATCTTCCAGGGAAAAGCAGAGAGCAACAAAAGCAAAATGGAGCTGACACCACAGGGTTGGCTAATTGCTCTAATGAATTTCCACATACCTGAGACCGGATAGATCTCCTTCAGGGGATAGATCACCTGTTTAACAGAGCAAAAGAAGCCATGTCAGAGGGAGCTGGACACAGTCCATCAGAGATGTAATGGGGATGGCAGAATCTTGGGCACGAGGGAAGGAGCAGCCACAGGCATCCTCCCTCTTGCAGGCCTTTCTGCAGCACACAGGTTCACAGGGCATGACCACAGCTGGGAGCACAGCTGGGGCCAGAGCAGAGGCAGCCCCTGGGCTCACCTGCTCGCGCAGGCTTCCATCAGTGAAGAAGGGCCTCTGTGGCAGGAACACCACTCCCCGGGGGCCAAAGCAGGTCAGCATCTTGATGCTCCCTGCACAGAGACACACTCATGCCAAGCCTGCACCGCCAGCTGGCAACTCCTCACTGTCCCCTGTGTAGTCCCACCCCGTGAAGTAGCCAACAAATCCCAGCAAAGGTGTATTTGCAACAGAGGGAAAAGCAATGAGAGCCAGAGCAGAGTATGGGATAGAGAGAAGTGTCTCTAATGCATTGGTGACATGTTCACCATCACAAGGTGGCACTGGTCTCACAGCCCCACACTTGCCACTATCCAGACTCAGGGCAGTGCTGGGTGAGAAAGCAAAGGCTGTGAAGAGCAGCAGTCCTTACCCCGCGTGCTCTCCCAGAGTCCCCCAAGGACTCTCAGGAGAGATGTTTTCCCTGTGCCAGTGTTCCCCACAATCATCAGGCTGTTTCCTTGTGAGATTCTGAGGTTCAAGTCCTTGATGAGCAGCTTGCCAGAGGATGGCACCGAGAGCGTCACTTGCTCCAGAAGGAAAGCTGTGTCCCTTGGCACTGGGTCCTCCCCAGACTGTCTGCTGGGCCACCACCAAGACAAAGGAGAGATCTGGGGGTAAGCGATCATGCCAAGACTGGCAAGGATCAGGCACCTTAGACCTCCTGTGCCTCTGTGACAGCAGCCCTGCCTCATGTGCCCCGGGAATAACATATCACAGTAAGCACTGCCTGCTCCAACCAACTGCATGCAACAGGCTGTGACACCAAGGGCCACCTCCATCCTGTGACAGCCCCACACTCTCGTATGTAAGCTACAAGCCAGACTGTGGCTGAGAGGAGACTCACCCATCCAAATCCCAGCTGGCTTTGGCTTCTGAGTAGTTATCATTTTTTTTTCTGCCAAGGTTCAGCAAGGTCTCCTGCAGTTCACCAATCCTAAACAAACAAGAGGTTGAATAAATGCCAGGGACAACTCCAGCAGCCTCCTCACAATACCCAAACCTGTCCATGCTTGCTCACAAGCAACTGTTTCTTATCTATTTAGCATAGACCTGGGCAGTCTTGTCCCACACTTCCCTTTTCTGCTGAGACCTGCCCACAAAGAAGCTCACCTGTGCGTGTAGCCAGCTACATCGGTCATGGTGCTGGAGAGATCTATGAGCTGGCTGAAGCAGCTGATGAGGTAGATGGAAACAAAGGCATTCTGGGGAGAAATCACATGCCAGTGCAAGGGTCAGTGCTGAGCTGAGGCACTGCCCCTTCCTTCATGGAGGCAACCAAGGAGTCCAGACATTTGGCCACATCAGCAGTCCCAGCAATATGAAGGAGGGGTGGAAAAGTCACCCAGGGTGGTGGGAGTGAAGATTACCATATTTGGATGGAGCAGGGCTTCCCTGCTCAGTACAGCAGTTTTTGCCAGGTGGCCACATCTCCTACAACCCAGGGATGGTGTTTGCAGAGTGCCTGTGGGCCAGCCTGGGGCCCAGCACACTCACCCCAACTAAGTCACGCAGATCTGTGCCACCAGCCCTGCCCCAGCACCGTACATGGCTCAGAGCAGGGCGTCCCATCCTGCAGCGCCCACATAGGTATTTTTAGCTCTGCACTCTCTATCACAAGCCAGTTTTGATTATCTGGGAATGAGTCAGGTCAGGAAGGCAAATGCAAGCCAGGTCAGCCTCACAGGTGGCCAGGCTCACCACGGGAAGCAGCCCAGGACAAAACCTGGACCCGCAGCACTGTGCAGACCCAGTTCCCACCCACACTGCTGAAAGCCAGAGGCTTTCTGACCTCACGTTTCTTTTAGACACAGAGGTCTGAGCTAGGAAACACTTACGTAGATGTGTCCTTCACAGGTCTCACCCCCAGGTTAATCATATACCAGTTGGCTCCAAGCTCCCATTTCCACGCCACCATGGGCAGGGACAGTCTAACCTGAAGGTCAGTTGCTGCAGGTTATCCAGCCCCAGTGCCACCAGCCCCCCAACAAAACCTCCATCCTCAGCGCTCACTCACCATCCAGTGGGGTCTGGGAGATCACTTTTAGCTCACCTTGCTGACGAGGGCGCTGAGCTCTGTTGGACTCAGGTCATTGTAGACCCCAGAAAAGATGGGAATGGCAATGACCACATAGCTCAGGATGCTTCCCAGGTAGTCAAAGGTGTTGATCCCAACTAGGCAGAAGCACATTGAGAGAAGACAGTGAGTTAGGGTGGGAAGACCTATGGTCTTGCCTCAGCCCTTCATGGTGCACCAGAGCAGAAGAACCCATTCTGCAGGACAGCACAAGCACCAGAGTGAAAAACCATTTGCCAAGCAAAGAGCACTTTGGAACAAGCCCCTGAGCAGAGAAACATCACCCAGACACACAGCTCAGCAACTACCATGAGACAAAAGCCACTTTGCCTGCTTGTTTCTACATTTCAGGGGCCTGGCTGACCCACAAGAAACAGGAGGGAGGGCAAAAAGGAAGCTCTGCGGTGAGATGGTTGGCCATGAAATCTGTCTTGGAGCACAGAAAGACTTAAGATCCCAGACTCCCATAGAGACACCTGCGTTCAGGGCTCTCCCTCCCTTATGCTGCTCAGAAGCCCACTGTGCTGGTTAGATGAGGAAGACCTGTTTTGATAGTGGTCATTTAACGCCTAAACTTGGACCCAGTGACAATGGGAGAAGGGAGATTTTCAGGGGACAACTATGCTCAAGGGACAGGCTCTACAGGAAAGAAGTTTCCACAGCTCCCAGCCACATATACAATTGTCTTCCACAATGCTCAAGCCCTTCCCTCTCTTCCTGGCCATTGAATACCTGCCTCACAAAAAGCACAGATTCCTGCAGATTTCCCTTTTGGGGCTTGTGTTCTCTGACTCAGTTGGGTCTTCCACAACTTTGCTCTCTTCTAGGCTTTTTCATGACAGGATTCCCATTTAGGACTGCAGGAGGCACCCTCTGTTCACGCTCAGGGCTTTCATGCACTAGCAAGAGCTGGGAGAGCAAAACCCAGCACTGCTGCTCTAACAGCAGTGCTGGCCTGCAGGCCACAGCAATGGAGCTGCATACACCCCACTTCACCCCCAAACTCCGCACTCACTGTATAGCCACAGCTCCTTGCCTATCAGCTCCCTCTGGGTCTGCAGCAGGCTCTGCAGCCTCCGGTCCGTGCGCATGTGCTCCACTCGCCCAGCCCTGTAAAATAAGATTGCAACGTGTCACAGACATCCCCAGAGCACCACAATGAGGTCAAAGCAGGGACTTTAGGACTGAGGCTTGGAAGGGGTCTGGCGCCTTAGCCTCCAAGGAACAGGCTCTTTGTTGAGCAGGAACTGAACAGCCAAGAGCACCTTCTTGAAGAGCTTCACCAAGAAACTCTGGCTGAAACAAGGAGCCCTGCAAATCTCTCCCAAAGCCCATGGATGCTGCTGCTGCATACAGGAGGAGGCGAGGCAAGGCCAGACACCATCAGCGAGGCCCCAGCCTGGAGCAATGCACACCCAAGGTCACACACACCTTTCAAGCAGAGCCTGGTTGGAGGAGAAGGACAGCGCCGCTACACAGCTGGAGCCAGAAAGGATAAGGCAGAGGCAAGCCCAGGAGGTGACAGCAAGCCAGCACCACCTGCACAGCCAGCAGCCCCAGCCCACCTCTTCCCATTCCCCACCCTGGAGGAGAGCGACACAGACCAGCCCGAAGCAGTGCAGCCTGCAGTGTGGGTGACCCCAGCCCCACAGCCCCCCGTTTCCCAGGGGTGTCTTCACAAGCATTAGGGGGATCAGTCACCCACCACCCCAGCTAGCAGTGATGCTCCCACAGCCAGGCTGAGCCAGTAGCACAAGGAGGCACATCTCAGCTCTAAACCATCACCTTTCAGCAAGCCTGGCAGCTCCTTCTGCTCTTTTGCAAGGGCTGGGCTGCCCTCAGGTGGCAAAATGCAGAGAGCGCTCCACGTCTCGCTCCAGACTCCCACCTGGCGTGGCAGCTATTGCCCCGGCCACCCAACCCACGCTTGTGCCCAGCACACACCCATGCTCCCACCACGGTCCATGAAATGGGGGAGTCACTAGGGCCCTAGCAGATAGGGCCAGGAGCTGCACAAAAAAAGTACAAATTAAGTAGAGAAGTCCAGCAATCAAAACCAGCCACTCGCCACATGCTCCTCCTATTGCAGAATTCTAGGAATGCAACCTTTTAAAAAAATCCTTTATTCTTAATTAAGATTCATACCATGAAAATGCCTGGTTTTGTACAATTCAACTGAATTCTAGTTTCCCACCAAGTGAAGCTTTTCTACTAATGAACGGTACTGAAGTTAAGACACTCCATTTTCTGGTATAATAATAATTCACTTTCCATTTTCTACTTAGTAATAGAATAAAAAACTTCAAAACTGTGAGGAAAAGTACTGCAGCTTAAACAAGGCATATAATTAGATCTTCTCCACTAAGAAAAATTATCATTAACCAGTAAGAATCAACCAGTCTACAAAAAAATAACTCAAACTTGCCAGTGCAAACCAAGATTGATTTCAGTTATTTAAATCAGAGTTTCATGCCTGTCAATATAAATCTTTATGAAATCGACAATTTTGAATCAAACCACTTTGGGGACAGCACGACAACACTTGAAACGCTCAGACTTTACAGCATGAAGGAGCCAAATACAGATCACAGGCAGGGAAGACCAGAGACAGGACAGCTGCTGCTTGCTTACATTCCCAGAAGAAGCACAGTTTCACCAAGGCACAGGGCAAAGGCCTGACAAGAGAGGAGCAACAACCTCCTGCCACTGACCTGGCCCTTTTCCTGGGTTCTAGCCATTTCTGTGAAACACCTTAAAAGGCTCCAAGCAGTAGCTCAACAGACTTCAGGGCATCACCACACAGGAAGGTGCTGTCGGGCTCCTGACTGTGTGCTCAGCTCTGGGGTAAATGGCACTGAGAAAATTCAGAGAGTAGCAGTACAGTGTTGGGAGGGTCGGGGCACAGTGACCTAGAGGAGCAAGCAGAAGTAAGGAGGCAACAGCTAGCATACCCACAGAAGACACACAGATTAGCAGCAGCAGGATGAGGCCAGAAGCAACCTGCAACAAGTCCCCAGGGGAACATCCCAACAAGATGCAACGAGACCTCAAGCAATCTTCCAGGTAAGGACCCAGCAAAACATCAGCAATGGTCTCCAAGCCAGCACCAAGCCTGTATTAGGCCTCTGGGGATATCAGAAGGGAGGCAGAGAAAAAATAACTGTCTCCAGCTGCTGTGGAGTATTTCTGCAGACAATGCACAGAGTGCAAAGGAGAACAGAGCATCAGGGCTGTATGATGCTGCAGCAGGATGGAGGGGACAGGAAGCTCTGGCTGCAGCAACAGGACTTGGACTCCTCTGAGATACATGAACACAACAAGGAAGTCCCGAGCTGGGAGGAACCTTACGAGGACATAAAGAAATGAACAGTACTGACCTGTAGAAAGCAGCTGGTTCCGCATTGACACGAATCTGCATGTGCTTGAACCTGGACAACCCAAGACAAACATCATCGGGATTGTGCACAAATGCCCAGCAAATTATGCAGCCAACATTCTTGCTAAAGGAAACTGATCTTGCATCTGTCAGAGCACTGATCTGAGGCATCTCGACAGAAATATTCAATAGGCTCAAAAAGGCACCAGAGACCAAGGCTTAGCACTAGGTGACATCATTCTGGGCCAGCTCAGCGGCACATTTGTTTGGTATCCTGCTCTCTGTGCACATCATCTCAGCCCTTGGGCCTCCCATTTGCTAGCCCAGAATCTCCACCACACAGAACCAGCACAACCAACTGCCCTGGTCTTGGCTCCCTGTGCCACACCAGCTTCTGCTGCTGTCCCCAGATGCCCTCAGCCTCAGGGAAAGCTGCAAAGCCCCTGCCACACACCCAGCCAACCCTGCAGGGGAAGGGGAGGATGAGTTACAGAGCACATGGAAAGACTGTGCTGTTGTGGGCACTTCATGAAGGTGATGGTGAATCAGAAACCTGATTTCTGTCAGTAGATGCAGTTCACTGAACCTGGATATGAACCCAAAGAAGTGCCATGTACAGTTTTCTTCAACACATCCAATGCCCTAGCAGAGGCACCTGCAACAGCAATGAGCAGGCAAGCAGCCCGGAGGCTGAATCAGTAGACTGAACCAAGAGCACTGCCTGCCATGACACAGGGCAATGAAAGGGGTGGTGGGGCTCAGTACACGGACTTTGGGGCAGCACTGCACAGGTAGGTTTCTCCAAGTATAGGCAAAGTTGCTGACAAGAGAACTAGCTGCATACATAGCACTGAACAGGGACAAAAATGCAGCTTTTGCAGGAGCTGCCAAGAGGCAGTGAAAACGCTGCTCTTCTGGGACTCACCTGAAATCCCCCTCCAGTTTTTCCTGCTGCACAAGTTTAGACACAATTGGGCTCATCAATACCTTGTTGACAATCGTCCCAATAATGAAGTACCCAAAGATGCTCACCGGGCCTAGCCAGCCTGTGCTACAGAGGGGGAGAAAGAGAGGTCAGCTAATAATCCAAGCAAAAGGACACCCCAGCACCCTTGGGCTCAAGCAGTCAGAGCCCTCAACTGCGACCTCTCTTGGCTTTCACAGAGGTTTGCGGGCCAGCCACCGCACACCCAGCATCCCCAAGGCAGAATTCCCTTTGGAGTGCAGAGACCACTCACCCACACATACAAGAATCCATTATAACGTGGGTGACAGGCTCCAAAAATAGCACAGGAAAGAGGCATGAAAGCAGGGCCCAGATGGGTCCTTACCTGTGGAAGCACTGGTATGTGTAGTAGGCCAGTGTGAAGGGCGAGATGATGAGCTTGCTGGCCATGGAGCTGAGCTGCCTGCAGAACCTCTCCACATCCTGGCTGATGCGCTGGTCCCTGCTCAACACAAAGACCCACTGAGACTGTTGAAGTCTAGGAGCAAGAACCAGTGTTAACTCCCTAACATGGCACAAGCCAGGCTGTTTCATTGCCTGAACTTAGGACAGGGTGCAGGTGAACAACCCTGCCTGGAAAGGACCTGCAGTTGTGACTTCTGTTCCCCATGTAGGAGACAATTTCCATGGCCCAGCAGGACCCACCGAAGGGCCTTCCTGACACCCAGGAAGAACAGCTCCTTTCACCCTGTTCCCTGTATTAACCCCTTGTTCCACTTTCAACAACATTGTCCAACACTGTGCTAAAGGTGTCTGCAACCTTGTCCTTTACTCTTCTCCTGGAACTACTCCTGTACTACCAAATACTGCCTCTCCCCCAAACCTTCAGCACTGGTGCTACAGTTCAAGCACTAGAGCTACCAGGACTGGCTAGGGCACAGACCAGGTCTTTAGCAGCTGTTGGATATTTGCAAACGCTTCCGTCAAAGCCACCCTTCCACAGTAGCTGGTCCCTTTGCTCTGCCTGGAATGGTACTCTGGTCCCTTTTGCCGCAAGGAAGAAAGTGCTTCCACCCACGCCCATCCCACAGGAGCAGGCAGCAGCACACCGGCATCGCACCATCGGTAGCAGGCACACGGGTGACAGACCCTCAAGTCCCACCCATCCCACTGCTGAGCAGAAGCTGCACTTGGAGTAACTAGAAAGGAATTCAGCATATTTACTCCCTCAGCACCTCATCTGTCCAGAGCAAGTGGATGGGGGCTTCAGTCTGATGCACAAAGCACAGGTAAGAAAGACCATGACTGTGAATGCTGGAGTCCAGAATGAAGAGCAAGGCTGGACTCCTGCTTAGCCATCGGTGCAGATACAGCCACAGGGACATTCATCTCTCAACTCTTTTGCAGTCCTGGAACAGCAATGGATTTAATTTTGGGGTAGCTCTCACCCTGACTGACCTTACAGTCGTTATTTTTCCTTTTCCTCAGACTGTAATTGTTCCCATAAAGTTATAATTTAAGTTGTGCTATAGACTCATGGCAGGATATTGCTTTTTATGAGCTATTAAGCAACATATAATGATAACATATAAACATCAACTCAAATGCCCTGCTAGGAGCCGCAAGTGTTTGTTTGCCACTCAGAACCCACTCTTCATTCCTTCTAGGTGGATGAAACCGTGCATCTAACAGTCAGTTTGGTTTGCACTGCATAACGGGAGGTCATTTTGTCACTCTAGTTTATTCTCTAAGTACCCAGTGAAGGGAAAAAATTCTCAGCGTGGAATTGCAAGACAAAGAGAATTTTTGTAGTGGCACCAAAAAAGACACTAAACAGTAAGATTGGATGTTTGAGCAGAAGCAAGGTGGTAATGAAAAATACTCCACAGCAATCCCACACAGTCAGTCTGCTGAGGTCAGGAGAGCTGGCTCTATTGCTGTGGAGCAGACTGACCCAGTTATCTCATGCATTTCACTGCACAATATGAACACATTCCTTGGTTAAAAATAAACCTGAGGATGATAGCTATGTGGCGAGGAGCCTCCGTCCTCCTCTTTTCTGTTCCCCCCTGCAAAAGGAAAAGACAGGCGTGCAGGAGATTCTGGCCATAGCCAATGTGCTACACTGCCTGGGAAGTGCTGCAGGCCTTGGTGACAGGCATGGCTTTTTAACCTCTCCTTGCAACTCCTTAGCACTGCAAAACACTATCAGAAATGAACATTTAACAAGGGTGGGAGTAACCTCAACAGCGGCTGAAAAGTGCATCAGCATCATGAAGCTGTGATTTCATGTTTGGCAGGAGGGCTGTTTGACCCAAGCTGAGCCCTCTCCTTGCTTGCTGTTCCCCCTGCACACAGCTGGTTGCTCTTATTCGGGCTGTCTCCTAGCGCTGGGCCAGCAGAAGGAGCCAGGGAACCAGTCTGGCTGAAGAACGATACAGACAAAAAAACACCTGAGATACCCAGCACAATTTCACTGTGCAGCCACCACAGACCACCACGCTGTGCAACAAAGGTGCAAGGACAGGCAGCCAGGAGCACTGAGCAGAAGCACAGAAGCTGCTTCAGTTCCTTGAGGTCACCATTATCAACAACAGTTAGGAGACCCTGCAACACAGCCATTTCTCACAGGGACCTGGTCTCTGGTGCCATCAATGTAAGAGATGGCACCAGTGCAGCGACTAGACCAGGGGTGCCCCCTCCAGGGGAATAGAGCCTAGGGTCTCAAAACAACTATATAAAGTCACACAATTTGGAAAAAGTTATGCCCTGATTTCTAGTTTTTCAGCAAGTATTTAATAATAACTTCTTTAAACTTGAGGTGAAAAAAAGCCTCTACCTCTCACATGATATCTAATATAGGATCTTTAACTCTTCAAAGCACGTAACTACGACAGCAGTGTCCTGTGCGCAAGGACAGGCTGGAAGGCCAGAGTCAGCAGGCAGCTGTAAGGAAGGGAGGTGTTTGATCTTCGCTGCACAGCCCACATAGATCAGCAGTTCTGCAGTAAGCAGGACAGCGCACAGAGCAAACTGGAAGGGGATCTCGGGTTGGGCTGGGATAAGCAAGGAGGGACTGAATGCTCCTCCTTCTCTCATATTTCAAGTCACCCCTGACATTTCCTTCCTAGAAACAGGATAGGGGAAATACAGCCCTCATACAGTGCAAAACAAAGCCCTTCCTGGACGTGGCTCCCAAGGGTTATCAAAATCACTAAAAACCCAACTAAACAAAACTGTGTTCAGCTGGAGACTCTGGGGCTGAAGTTCAAACAGAACAACAGGGAACATCCTAACGCACTTGCTCCGTGAAGACCAAGGACAGGCAGTGCTCTCTGACTCCAGCCAGGCCCTTTGCAACGTCACACTGAGTCAAGGGTTGAGTTTGCAGATAGCACGTTTTATAGCAGCACTAGATCCCTATTCTGCCAGGCGTCCATGTTCCTCACACCAGACACATCCTACGCCTAAAACCATCATGACCATCAGCCATAGGAATTCCAAGCAACGGGTAGCACCTCCCACCCAAGGCAGGTGAGGGCATTTGCGCCTAGATGGCAAAAGCTTCTAGGGCTCAAGCCCCTACCCAGAGACAGAAAGAAGTCAGGAAAAGGTATGGAGCAGCCCATGAGAAGCCAAGTGAGAGGCTGAGAGAAGCCACAGCAGCCTACGGGTTATCGATGTCCTCACGCAGCACGTGCAGGCTGTAGTAGACCTGGCCCTGGAAGTAGCAGCTGTGGAGATATTCGGTGAGGGACTTCCTCCAGCTCACGTACATCATGTTGCAGATAAACTGGTCAAAGCTTTTTAGCTGGAATGAGGGCAAGGAGACAGAGAAGAGATGAGCAAGAAGAACAAGCATTTTCCAAAATTAAATAAAAGCTAACAGTTTGTACCAGTGATCCATCCCACACATAGCTACCTAGCAAGGCAAGGGCAGACCCAGACCTTCTGTCACCAGGATCATGCCAGGAGCCACGGGCAGCCTTCCCCTCCTTCCCCTCCCAAGACATGGGAGCCTCTGGCCCGTCTTACCGTGGAGTTCACTATGATCAGGGTGAGGGCGACGGCAGTCAGTGTTTTGAACCCGGAGAAGTCCTTGTTGCCTAGGACCTCATAGTACCGGCTGGGGATGACGCCGACCTGGTAAATGACCAGCTGCTCTGGGGGTAAGAGGCAAGCACGGCAAGGGAATGAAGGACAGCGGTGGCATGGCAAGGGGCGGGGGGGGAGCACGGGGGAACGGGGAGCAGACGTGGGGTGCAGCCCCCCAGCCCAGGCTCACCCA